AGAGTGAAAAATTTAAAGGGGTCTGAATACTTTCCGTACCCACTGTAGATTCAGATCAGGAGTGGGTTAGGCCTCTTAGCCTAGGTATGTTACTATGGTTACCATAGGTCCCCAAATGGCCTTTTTTGGAAAGCACCTAGACATACCCTTAGAAAAACATGTAAAATATTCATTTTCTGTGGTATTGTTATCAAATTTGAGCTTGGACTAGGTAAGGCTTCATGCTGTGGTCCCATTGTGTTTTCCAGCTAATAAGTCCCAGCTCTAGTCATCTGCAGGCATCTGTTTGCAAAAAATATTCAGGCAGAAATAAAAACCTTCTACTTCAGTGTGTTCAAACTTCTATTACTCAATGCCAGTAGCACTTACAGTGATTCTGACTGTTGGGGAAACAACTTCAGAGTGTTACCATTCAAAATAGACCAAAACCATACATGTACTCCAAATGGTTCAAGAACAGCTTTCAATTGACTTTGGGTATGCCTTGGATAGGCGTTTTAGGCTAATTTTACTGGAGTGGTAACAGGTTAATATGACGGACCCTCCGCAGGAACGCACAAACGGAGTGGCGGTGGGTAGGGAGAGGGTGGAGGTGGTGGTTTTAAGAAAGACCCCTATAGGTCTTTCGTTCACACCTGAGAAGCTGATGAGTTGACGGGTTCATTGAAAACACTTTCTCCTAGTGTGCTGTTTTCAGCTCCTAGAGTCACACAGTCTGTGAATTGTGCTGACGACCTTCGACTCAAATGTTCTCTTCTATGTGGCCCTTTTCATGTTCTGTTCCTGTTTCCAGTCTCTTGAAGTTGTGTGCCTGTGTGTGGGTATTTCTTCCTTCATGTCCTGGGAGTGTTAACCTTCTTCAGAAGCCTAAATTCAAAGGCAGAAATATTTTCTCATTGCTTTTTTTTCACATGAGAAGACCTGTAGCAATGAGTGCAGATGTGGTTTGAATCAGAGGTCAAGTTTTGGCCAAGATCTCACCCTTTGAATTTGGGCCAACCGTTTATGAGAAACTTTAAAGAGAAGACATAACTTTCAGCTCATGTGGCCATCAAAACTAGAGTCAGAGCAGGAGGTCAACATTTTCAAAACTGAATTGTGCAGTGAGAGCTTTGGCATCTTTTTACGATGCTCTGGGTAGCACAACAAAGAAGTGAATTTCCCAAAATGCTGAGTGCTCCTTTTATTTGATATGGCCTGGAGGCCAGCTACAGCGTACCTGACCTGTGCCTGGTTATAGAGATACGATGTAGACACAACAAAGAGCTGGGAGTGCTCAGCCAGGTTGGTTTTCTACTGCAAGATCCTGATACTAGTGGAGATTGTTGACAACATGAAACAAGTTGAACAGTGGCTCAGTAACTTCCTCCTTCTGAGTAGCACAGCTGTAAGCTGCTTTTCAATATGCTAACATGTGTCCTAGATTCCTTTTCTTGCCTCCTGTCCTCACGTCTTAGTCACGGCCACGAGAGGCGCGAGCAAAGGAGGCGAGGAAAAGACCCGAGGAGAGAGGAGTCAAGGCAGCAGGCATTTAACAGATGACACATTGTTGCCTCAGAGCCGTTATTTTAGAGACTTCAATTAAATATGACATAATATGTAACATGCTGCATCAGCTGTCCATTGTTTGTTATATCTCTGTATATTATGATCTCTGTCAATGACAACAACTTACGTATTTTCTTTTAATGTGGCAAAATGTGACATGAATGTTCCTGTCTTGTATTTTATATATTTTTGTATAAATATTATAATCTATATGTAGATTATAGATACATAACACACACAAACACAGTCCTGTCTATACATGACAACATGAAATACAGTAAATTACATCTGAATGTGGAGAATGGTATTATCATTGATATAATCATTTAAATTCAGCCGCTGTTTGATTATAAGATCATAGCAGCTGAATTATTAGCCTATATTCAATATTAAAACACAAGTAATATCAAGGTAAATGTCGGAATATGTTTGGACCAGAGCCTCATAAGGTACTACACATACAGTGAAGGGCAGAGAGTTTGATCATCTTAAATAGCTACAATCTATAATTACAAAAGGACAATTACTGTCGCAATTGTAGAGTCCCATCATGGTTTGAGATTATTCCAGCTGTGTGTAATGCCTCTTTTATGTGCCGGGTGGCAAAATGACTTCGGCAAAGATTCACCGGAGTTACCTCGCTGTCAGCTCCTCCAGAAGCCTATATCCTCTCTCCTCATTCCTCGCTCCTCGAGGTGCATTTTGATAGATTGAAAGATCCTCCATGATGGCGGAGGGGGAAACAGGTCAGGCGTGGAGAGACGCGAGGAAGCATAAATTAGTGTATCGAAAAGCACATAGAGACTCTGGGCTTTCCCCTTTTCCCTGTTTGCATATCCTCTGTTCCTTTCCTCCGGAGAGAGGAGTCAACACAACAGGCATGTAACAAATGAGACATCGTTGCTTCTAAGCTTCCTTCTTTTCTTTATACCACTGTATTTTATCATCTGCTCATCATCTGCTCATCTCTGTCAGATGAGCAGAACAGTGTTCATGACAACTTATATATTTACTTTTAATTCCATTCACAAAGTGGCGTAATGTTTTATTCATGAGTATAAAAAGTATTATGGCAAATAGTGAAAAGCGGAAAGTTTGATTTTCTTAAACTTGAGTACAGAAGACAAAATGTAAATTAAATAATGATTCAATAATTGTATCAAAAATGTAATATAAATAAGCATGTATATTGTGTACACTTGATTCTAACATCCGTGGACATTCATGCACTTATTCCTATTGAAATATCCACCTGCCATGCACTGATGTACAGTGATTTACATTGTCTGTAGTAGATTAATAGAATTGAACACTGTATGTTCATGGCCACATGTTTTGGCCAATAGCCACGGCGACTGCTTCCGGATCAATTCCTCTACGTCAGGGGTCACCAACCTTTTTTAAACTGAGAGCTACTTCAAGGGTACCGAGTAGTACGAAGGGCTACTTATTTGATACAAACTTCCTGAATAACAAAATTGCACAGATCACCTTTTAATAATAATAATAATATATGTGAAGAGAGTGTTTGATTACATGTCAGTTAATTATTCCTCACAATAATTATTCATAATGATTTCAACAACAATGATGGTATGGCTACACATACATATTTAAAAACATGCAACTTTTATTTCTGTTAATCTGTTTAAACATTTGAAAGTCAGAGGTATCACATCTCTGATATTTTTGTATCATCACATGATCAAAGCCGGTTACTTTTGCACATAGCGCCTGCTGGTGAATGATGTAATATAGACATTTTGCGAAATCTGGGTCACCTTTGCATTGCGCAATGAAGCCTGCATGCCGGCCCGTCATCGCGGGAGCCCCGTCTGTTGTCACCGACACCAGCTTTTCCAATGGTACCTTTTTCTCCACGAATTAACTCATAAAAGGTCTCGTCTATAGCCGAGCGGGGGATCCAACCCTCCGAGGCGCGCGAGCGTCTTCGGGCGCCCGCGTTCAAACCTCTAGTCTGGGCCTTTTCGGTCGGATTGCGTTGCCTCGCCTCTACCCCCGCCACCCCTGAGTTGTTGCCCCGCGGCCTGTTCCGAGGACTTACGGACCTGACGACGGGGTGCGCTCGCGGCTCGCGTCTGGCACTAACGGGATGCGCCCGCCATTCAGAACCTGAAAACCTAGTGCGGTTCGGCAGCCTCGTCCTGGCTGTCCGCCGTGTGCCTCCGGGTACCCAACTCTCTTAACTCTCTGCAAGCGTTTTTGATTAAAAAAGAACAGCAACTACAATTTTAGACGGAGCTCCATAATGACTAGTGCTATTTTAGAACATGTCTTGCGGGCGACTCACGTCGTCCCTGCGGGCGACAGGGTGCCCGCGGGCACCGTGTTGGCTACCTCTGCTCTACGTCTTCACCCTCTGCCACCTTTCCATCAAGTGACCACAATGTGGCCGCTACGTATTTTCACGTACCTGGCGGCTCGAGCTCATTTCGGGGCACTCTGATGGTTCCCTCTGGAGTGGGTGGCATGTTGATGGAAGGCTGTGTCACTGTTAATACATCCCAAATATATATATATATTATATAATATTTAACTCGGTTGACCCGGCCTGACTGATCCTACTGTCCTGTTCTGGAGCTCCCTGACGGTGCCCTGGTCGTGTTTTGCTGCCAGTAGACGGGGCGATACTGCCCGACTTTATGTTTTTTTGTTATGTTAAAAGCATTTTTATGGATG